TGTGTTGTGTTGTGTTGTGGTTTGGGCTAGGATGATTTGGTCTGGATCTGGGTCTTGGGCTTGGTTTGGGGGTTAGTATGGACCTTTAAGGCACCCCCGTTGGAAAAGCGAAGGAAGAAACCTAGAGATAGTGGAGGTTGAAAGTGTAGGTATGGAGGTACATACAGTAACCCGCCCAGGGTACGGATACTGATACCACCTATATGGGCCTGTCCTGTCCTGTTAGGTGAGGTACGAGAGTGTAAATGACTCCCAAAAGCAAGAATTTGAGATTGATCTTTTAATAGAACTGGGTTGACGATTGACAATTAAAGATGCAGGTTGATGGTGGTACTGGTAATGGTAAGGGTATCCCAAAGAGGTAGCTTCTTGTTTCGTGTAAAGTTGACGTAGGCTGTTTAATCCAATAGCAGGGGTTGATTGTCTAATCTCTTCTGTATCGTATCTTTTCTTTTCTTGCCTCTCAAGTGTCGGATATTCTTGAACGAGTGAAGGAGGCGTGTACAGCGCACAAATGAAGGTGGAGCTTCAGGTGCGTTGAATTGAGTCGAGTCGAGATGAAAGCGAGTGACCAAACGAACGAACTAGTGAGAGAGAGTCAGAGTAAGAGCAGGAGCAGGGGGATGGTTGAGGTTGAGGTTGAGATTAAGATTGAGACTGAGAGAGAGGAGGAATACGAGGATGGGGCCACGCAAAGAGACATAGATTAACTTGACTTGGAGCATCCAATCTCAGCCACAATACGATACAGTCGTAAACTCGGACTCTACTAGCTACTAACCAAGGTACATTTAAAAACTCAATTGTTACTGCAATGCAGCCTTCCGTTGTTGATATTGACTAATGGTAACCGCAAATGTCATGGAATACTATAGTACTGTAACTACAACACAATGCCGACCACTACTAGACTTCCATATCACTAGCAATTATCGGTAGGTTTCCGTACCCGTTAAACAATTCGATAATATCCATATCGATTGACTCGTTATTGAGAAATGAACACTGCAAACGGCTGGATGTCCAGTGCTCAGACTAAGGTACCTAGACTAGAGTATCCACCTCTGGCGCAATTGCGTCGTGGACATGGACATGGAGATTTACCAGGGTCTAAGCTTGGAACTCGATCAATTTGATCACTCAATCTGTGTTGTCCTGCCCTACGACGGTCGGCAAGGGACTGGACTCTCCACAGTGACGAGACACAACCGACGATCACAGCTCAACTCAGATGTCTTGAAGGTGATTCTTGATTCAACAACAATGCAGCAATGGTTTCTGTCGAGCCACAGAGAGTCGAAACTTGCACACTCAGCTGAAACCACTAACTACTGCAACCCAACTACTACCATAGACCATGATGAAGGAGCCCGGCACTAGAAGCACACAGACATTAGAAACTGGATCAAGGCAGTCAGTCAAGCATAGACTCTGCACAGTCACTGCGTAGAGCAGGCACCACTGTAGTTGCCCTACCTATCCTCCAGCAAACTTAGGCAAGCAATTCAGTTGGCTGCCTCCACCAAAGCATGCTCTCGATCTACAGGGCTCTGGATCTTTACTGCCCGAATCGAGAACCTTTCAATTTCGACCCTGGGCTAAGAAGCTAGGTGCATATCCCAATCTCAACCTTGTGCAATGCCAATTGAGATTATGTCTTACATCAAAATTATGTACATACAGAGGTACATACGTACATGCATGTGGAATCTGGGCAATAAACCGGATCAAGTTGACGACGCCACAGAATAGGTTGGTCAGAAGATTTGCAACCGTCTATTGATAAACACATGGATGGTGATGTACGTAGGTAGTCAATCGTTGACAATCAGGGACCAGCCACTACAATACTGTATGTACGTATGTTTCCATATTTGGCTCTGTCCATTTATGTCAGGTAGTTAGGTACTTGCATGTATCTCCAAGAACGTCAAAGAGTTGCAGCATCACACGTCAGGCCTTGTCTTCAGTTGCATGTTGCCTTCATCACCAGTTGCTGCGCCTCACCCAGTCTAGCCAGTCCAGTCCCTACAAGGACAAAAGACTTGAACCTGTCAGACGAGGTGCCGTGTCGATCAGCGTTTCATGTTTTTCGCCATCTATAAGTGAAGGTGCACATGCAAGAATAGCAATATGTCTTTCTTAGCTGGCCAGATAAGATTGGAGATGGCAACAGTATCTACTACGTGCTACTTCCAGAGTATATGGTGAGCTGTAAGCGAGTTGGCTCTTTGGATCTACAAGATAGTATAACCAGGGTAGCTAAGCGGGGAGCTTCTTGCATGAACGATATCCTGATAACTGCCTGTGCTATACATATATTACGTGTGAAGCTCGTAGGTAGGTAGCAAGAGACAAGAATAGATGCATTGTAAAGTGAAGTGAGTGAGTGTGTTCGTTTTTGGTGGTTGGAGAAAGGAAAGGATCTCCACTCTCATGGATACCTGACTACGTCAGACTTTGGCCGAGCAGATAAAACAGAGGAAAACAATATTCTCAAGTATCAGAAACGCGACATTTGCAGTTCAAAGACAATAATGCATTGTATGAATAACTCTACTAGAGTTAACGCCTCTTCAGCTAGAAAATAAATGTAAATTCAAAGCTCAAAAGTTGCGGTACTTGACTTAAGCTCGGCCAATCCGGGGTAAAACGATAATGCGATCCCGCCGATAAGCCACCTTCTAAGCTCTGTATTGCTTATCTCAATCCTGGCTAACGTTGCTACTCTGTAAAGGCTCAAAATTTCAATCCCTATACACAAACCACCAACGTCGACGTCAACCCACCACACCACGATAGCCTTATAACCTCTAATTTACCAACTACATCACCCCCCTCAACCCGCCAAAATGGATATGTGCGTTCGGGTCCCTCGGATCCCTCCAGTTGATTACGACACTAATCAAAGGTTTTTCCAATTGCAGGCTTTCAGCCGCTGAGCAGCGCACTCTTGAGCAGCGCATGCAGAAGCGCCAGGTCAAGGAGTTTATGGGTGTATGTTTCCCCAAATTATCGCTCCTACCTGCTCTGTACGATACTAACTTGTATCACATAGGCTTTCGGCGGTCTTGTCGAGCACTGCTTCATGTCCTGCGTCGATGACTTCACCTCCAAGGCTATTTCCAACCGGGAAAGCGGCTGCATCAACCGCTGCGTCCAGAAGTGGATGGCTTCCCAGCAGCGCATCAGCGACCGCTTCCAGGAGCACAACGCCCAGCTCACTGCTCAGATGAACAAATAAGCGCGACATATTCGGGATCGCGGCGTGTATGAATAGGAAGGAACAAGAGAAATATCAAGAGAAAACTCTACACGAGGTCTATTTTGGGGCGTCGGTTGTATACTGAAAGGCTGTTGCCCGTGATACTGATGACAATGATATCAGGCGCGGCTGATTTTTGTAGCGCCAAGCTGTACTTATACATTATAATGGGTTATAGACATGAAGCAAATGGGCTTAGATCTAGCCCCATGAAATGAAATTATGACCCATCTCTTGTTCAGTAACCAAACTGCTAGGAAAGCTTGGTCCAGTCTTCGAGCCACTTGTGCTGGGACAAGACAACCGTGGAGTAAAGAAGATGCTCTTGCGAATTGGCGCTGTTGGCGTCCTTTACCAAATTAATCAGTTTATATAATACTTTCTTATGCCCTCAATGCACAGGACCCAATTTCCAACGCCCATAAACTATACTACTCATACTATACATCTCGGTAATCATCGCTCTTCTCTTCTCTAAAAGCCTGTTCGTATTCAATTCTCTGCTTCTTCGCTCAGCACATCCCGAATGGCATCTAATTGAGCCACAGCTTTCTCCTCCAAAAGATTGTCATATGTTCCTGCGGCGGGCTTCATGCCCCGCCAATCCATTTCCCGTTGTCCCAAAGGCATGAGTCGCTCCTTCAATAGCTTCTTCGTGCTCAGCCAAAAGTCAACGTTCTCAAGAAGATTTGCCGAATCCCACTCGACGTCCGGAATGTCCCGATTATTGTTCACACGAAGAGCAACAAGTACCCTTGTGAGGAGAGCCAGGGAGTGGACTTCGGATATAGCCACAAGCGTCAAGTAGTGCGGTGACGCCCGAGACTGTGTACGGCTTGCTCCGGGTGCTTCAAAACGGTCCACACTTGCCTCTAGTAGATGTGGGAACTGGTTCAGTACGTAGGCAACCTCTGGGGCAATGGTGGCGCCCAGAGCTGTAAGCAGGTTCAACATTAAAGGCAGCAGTCCCTTGGCCCATATACCGTAGCAGCGTTGCACAACAGGAGAATCTGAGTAGGGAGAGATGTTGGACTTGAGCATGAACTTTGTCAGGTTTGCCGACAAAATATTGCTCAGAATTCCATCGCAGGCCATCTGCTCAGCAATCAAAGGCAGAGTAGAGAGCTCGAGTAAGAATAGCATACTGAGCTCGCCATAGATAGGATCACCCTGATCAGACAGCCTATCCGCCCAAGAATAAAGGGACGAAACAGCGTGCAGGACTTGGTGCTCTGCCATAATGTTAAGAACTTGGGTTTGCGATTGATCCATGTTGGGTAAGCTGAGACACGCTTGAAGGATGGCTGTCAGCAACCCAAGGTCCTCCGGCGAAACGGTGGTTTCGTTGTCGTGCACCAGACTGACCAGTGCGCGGAAGCCTCTGCCGACAACGCGATCGAGGATGTTGAGCACGGTTTGTGTGACCGTAACTGTGGTTCCCTCAAAGATATCTTGGTTTTCGCCCGTCTTCTTGCCACTGGTGTGATAAGCACGCAGGGTGACGAATAGGGCCTTCAATAGGGTACGATAGTATGAGATCGACTCGGGTCCCCAAGGCTCTTCAACACCATTCATTGTGCCAACAAGGGTTGAGAGCAGCTGGTTGATGTCCTTCACTGGCACAGAAGATTTGACCAAGCGTTGAATCAACACAAGGGCGAGGTTGGCACGGGACTCAACCAGCTTGAGGAAGATGTGTTCAGGTCCAGGAATGCCTTGGTTTGCGTTCAAGCATTGTTGAGCAACCTGCAGCATTTGCTTTTCAACAGTATCATTCTTAGTCAGACATGTAGAAAGCTCAACAAGCAGGAACTCCCAAGCATGGAAAAGGGCCTATGTTTGGATTAGCTAAAAATTATTACAAGCAAAGAGTTATGAACTTACAAGTTGAGCGTCGACAAGAGAGAGGTTCGTATTTGCGCGCTCCATCTCTGTTTTGAAGCCATCATCTTTCCGGCCCTTCCAGCCGGGGTCGAATCGAAGCATTTCATCGGCACGTTCGAGATCGTAGTAGTAGCTTTTCCCTAATTCTCGTGGCTCGAGAGCAGTTCGTTTGAAGTAACCCACAGGACAGTCAGAATACTTGTTTGAAAAGTTCCTTGCAAAATTGTTATGCAAAGATTTGTTATAGCCTGCAACCTCGACTCCGTCGCGCAGATAATAGTCGAGATCGCTGACAAGATTCTTTGCCAAGGTGTCGGAGTTGCCTAGATGTCGCGAATGGTATAATTGCATGGCGAACGTCTCAGCAATGTAGGCGGCTAGTCTAGCCTCGAAGCCGGCACGAACAGCATCACTCTTGACGGTAAGGTTGGATGGCTTGAGTTCTCGGACATATGCTCTGAGACCATCAAGGTACGCTGTGTCTTTCTGCAGCGTGAAAACGGTCCAGGGCCAGAAGTTCTGGGCTGAGGCAACGAAGTCGAGTATGACCAACGCTTCGCTGACTTCTAGATCTTTCAGCTTTCCGAGCTTGGCAAGTCCAGTGGCAAACACTGAGTTGGAAGAAACATCGGTCTTCTTCTTGTCCGTTTTCATTGCCTCTCTCGGGGTTTGCCCTGTGAGAAGACAGTTGGACATCCACTGCTGCCTGTTCCTCAAAATAGCCGAGAAGAACTTCCATGTTGCCTTGACCTCGCCTCTTAGTTCGAAAGGTTTGCCCAGAGTTGACAAAAGCTGTAAGAAAGATTTGGAAATTTGAGGCCCAAGATAACCAAGTAGTGAAGGAGGCTCGCTTGAAGACTTGCCAGCATTCACTACCAGAGACTCTAGCAGCCACATTGTAGGTCTTCGGAAATGGTCAGATGCTGCACAAAGACGCGCAAGGAGGGTAGAGCTCTTGAAAAGGTAGGTCTCAATCATGCTAGAAGATTGCTCAAGATAATTTGCAACCCGCAAGAGTGTGGCTGATAGTTCCAGCACGGCACCCAGTTGTGACTGAATCATCTCCACGCGCCTAGGATAAAGTGTGCTATCGGTGGTTGTGAACGCAGTAATTAGAGAAGATAAGAGAGGCTGGAATCGAAGAGAGCCAGTTGAGGGTGAGACAAAGCAGTCGATAACATAGGATGCGGCAGGTCGTAGGCAAGAAGTCAAGTTCTCAGAGGTGGAAGAATCGCCAAGGCTATAGCTGTATAGGATAACTTTGTGCAGGATAGGCACAACGTCTCGAAGGACTGATGAACGGCATGTGTCTGAGGCAAACCTCCAAGTGGATGTGTTTTCGAAAATATCCACTCCTGCTTGGGCGATTGCATAACTGACCTTTGCCAACACCTTATCAGCTGTACCGAGCCAAGGATTTAGATCCGACTTGTTCCTGCCGGTAGCTTGGATGCCGGCTCGACGTTGAACGGCGGAGGTCATCGCAGTATCAATTAGATTACCAAACAGACGCAGGCAAGAAGAAAGGAACTCGAGCCTTTCTTGTACCAAATCGAGGCTGCCAACAACCTTGGTAAGTTTACCAGCTCGAGAATCGGAACTCAACAGCTCGCATCGAGAGAGGTAAGACCAAACTCTGCTAGGGTAAATTGGTAAGACCGCGTCCAAGAACTGTATGCAAGAAGTGAGAATCGTCACCACGACATCCTCGCTCTCTGCAAGGTCAACCTGCATATAGTAGTCCATCGTGTCGCAGACCACCGTCAACAGGTCCCTTCCACTGCCCGCATCAATATGCTTCTTTGCTTCCAGAAGGATGTCATCATCTGAGAGCACCAGAGCCCCTGTTGAGTCCTCTTGGGAAGCGTTCAAGTAGTCCATTCGGATAAGTGTTGCGAAAAGGGAGATGACTTCGGCTGTTTCTTCGGGTTGGAGCATACCAAGCTCAGACTGGTAGCCTTCCTTCATCAAGTTGATTTCCAGCCGCCGGCCGAGGAGGGAGATCGTTGAGTGTGGGTACTCCATTGAGACAACTCTACCAGTATCTGTGACGAAACGGCCGTATGTGCCGGCGGGTATCCGGTAAGAATCATCTTCGACGCGTCTGCCTCGCCATGAAGGAGATAATGAAATGATAGGAATGTCCTGCAACAGGCAGAAAGTATTGGTATTCTCATCTTCTTGTGCAAGTTCGTATTCTTGAAAGTGGTCGGGGAGGACGAAGGTCAGCGTAGGTGTGACGCGAAGGAGATTAAGAATCATCTGAGACCGCTCGCTATCGCGAAGGCTTGTTGCGCTTGCCAATGTTCGGCAGAGAGTGATGAATGGCATGAACTCGTAAGGATATCTGTCAAGGGCTTGCTGAAAGAAGAATTCTAAAGCAAGGTCATCGTTGACCATAGAGGCAAGGATATCTTGCTTTTCTGAAAGGTTCTCCTTCTTTGAGAGATCCCAATAATTTCGCCCGGCGCTCAAAACAGAGAGCAATGCGCTGACGGGTTCTGACTGATAACCAACAATGGGGTATGAAACCTTAAGGAGCTCCAAGAAGACGTTGCGAAGGCGAGAGCTGAGTAAAGGAGTCATACTGCCTTCATCGGAGGGGCCAAGGCTTGATGCCATGTTAGAGATGACATCAAAGACACGCCCTTGAGCTGTGACCGCCGATGCAAGCTGCTCAACCACGACAAGATCTTTAGATGCAGTTGCATTCTCCAGAAATCCGTCGAATTTTGAGGATTCGATGGAGAAGATGCTTCCCGCTGAATTGCGCCTTGCAACCGGACGAATTACACCTCCCGCCTCAAAAGTCTCTCGCGCGTTCTGTTGCAATAGGTTGTCTCGTTTTTCGGTCCTGCTCTGATAGGACACGTTCATACGATGGAGGAGTAGGGTCCATGCGAATATGACAGGCGAAGCATTCTCACAATCGGCATCTGCGGCATTGAGCACACTCTTGTGGACCTGCTCGAGAACGTCGGATGAAAGGAGGTATGTATCGTAGGTGGTATCAGCTTGAGTTGCGTCCTCCTCCCTCTCGGAGAGATATGTTAATGAACGGGCTGGCTTGAGTAAGATCAGGGACACCGCTACTGAGAGTGTCTTCAGAGGCATGACTAATGGAGCAATGCTTTCGTGAATCTGATTGATTGTTAGCATAAATCAGACATGAAGCCAATCTAGACGTACCGGCTGGACAGCATCAAAGAACCTGTAGACCTCCATCAACGAAAACCACTGGTTAACAGCATTTGAGGGTGCAAATTCATCGCCAAAGCTATCCACTATCTGAAATACGACAGACAAGGCATGCACGGCTTCGGTCAGATGAGTTCGTATCCAGTCTAGTTCGACCTCTTCTGTCACCCATTTTTCATCTGTTACAGCTTTGATCCCAGATTCGATCTGGCTCATGGAGTCGGTCAGAACTTGAAGATAGGTGGGTAGTAAAGGCTCTGCATCGTCTCGCGCAGGCAAAGTTAGTCGGTAAGTCTTGGCGAGGTCGAGATCGACGTTGGCGAAGGTAGGCAATCTTTCGTATAGCTTGATAGAGTTGGCATAATCCGCTGACAGCATGAAAAAACGACGCTCGGTAAGATATGTATCGAATAGGCGTCGCTGCCTCGTCTCCGGCTTCTCAAACTCGGCCCAGATCTCCTCAGCATCCAATGCAGCCGCTGAACCCAGGTCCATCAAGAACCCTGACCCTTGGCCATTGTTGAGGCCAGCAGCCTCCTGCAAGTTCTTTGCATCCTGCGATGATAAGGGGCCACTGAGATGGCGAGCAGGGCGAGACTGGTGTTCAATAACGACGATACGGAGGGCAGCGACTAGGTTGATTTTGGCATTTTTGCTGAGCCATTCGGCATCCTTCTTAATCGACTCGATATCCGGTCGTCCATCTGAGCTTGTGGGCACGTTGATCGGTGCTGTCTTTGTCTGAAAATCTTTTTTGGTAGCTTCGTCTGCGGGAGCGAAGGTGCTGGCAGGATCCTCGAGAAGACGGTGAACATAATCGTCGCTCAAAAATTCGATAACAGCAGAGCTCGTGGTCCTCTGGCCAGAGCTATCGGAGAGCGCAGTTGCGATAAGCTTCCATGAACTGGGTTGTCAGTTAGAAAACATATTGTTTACATAGAGATAGCTGCCAAGATGGAGGGTTGCTAGGACAGAGTAACAGAACTTACAGCAGTACCCTCTCCCCAGTTAGGCATTGTTCCAGGGAGGGGAAATATATGCGATCGGCCACCGGCGCCATTGCAGAGAGCGTCAAAAAGGCGACAGTGGCATGCGATGCATTACCTTTGGACTAGGGTAAATGCGAAGTTTTGATGCTTGTTGACGCGCCTGGTCGCGATGAGCTTTGGCTGGACCAGGTCAACTTTTTGGAAGCTAGAGAGCTCCGATTTAACCGACATTCAGCCGCCCATTCACTTTCAACCGCTAATCGGACCTTGTGGCATTTCTAAGTTGAGCTTGGACCGCACTGTACAGGGCATTATTCTTGGATGTAATTAGACAGTGCGACAGCAACTACCGTGCACGGCTGGGCTTGACAAAGGCGACTTCACTTTCTTTGTTGGAAGGTATATTAACCCAAGTGAGTCACTCTTTTTCAACACCCATCGATTGATCTCGCAAGATTCACTCGAAAAAAAGAAGCAGGAAATACTTCGAAGAGAAGCAAAAAAAATACTGTCTTTTCTTGTGTGTGTTCAAAAATGGGTTCCTCAGATATCATTGATCACTCGCCTCACCAAGCTGATCCCTCGCCTCCAATCCCAACCGCTTCCAACCTTATTCTCATTGACAACTACGATTCTTTCACTTGGAACATCTATCAGTACCTTGTTCTTGCTGGTGCTACAGTTACTGTCTACCGAAATGACAAGGTTACTGTAGAGGAAGTGATTGCCAAGAAGCCTACCCAAATCATTATCAGTCCCGGCCCCGGTCATCCCGAGACCGACTCTGGAGTGAGCCGCGATGTTATCAAGCATTTTGCTGGTAAAGTCCCAATCTTTGGTGTCTGTATGGGCCTGTAAGTCTTGAAGTGTCTCTGAGTCATAATTCTTCTGACCTTATTACAGCCAATGCATCTTCAACGTCTATGGCGGAGAAGTCAGCTCTGCTGGCGAGTGGCTTCATGGCAAAACTTCACCTCTAACTCACGATTCTAAGGGCGTCTTCTCCGGTCTGAGTCAGGGCGTCCCAGTCACACGCTACCACTCTCTTGCTGGTACTCATGTTACTTTGCCTGAGGATCTCGAGGTCTCCTCATGGGTCGCCAAGCCTGATGGCTCTCCCGGTGTCATTCAGGGTGTGCGTCATAAGAAGTACACCATTGAGGGTGTTCAATTCCATCCTGAGAGTATTTTGACCGAAGGCGGACGGGCCATGATCACAAACTTCCTTCGTATGCAAGGAGGTACCTGGGACGAAAACACCCAGTTCCAGAAGTCTGGCACTGTTGCAAGCGACGACTCAACAGCGCCCAAGTCTACGAAGACAAACAACATTCTACAGCGAATTTACGCAAACCGAAAGGCTGCTGTAGATGCTCAGAAGCAGATCCCTTCTCAGAGATTTGAGGACTTGCAGGTTGCATACGACCTGAATGCCGCCCCTCCTCAAATCCCCTTCGTTAACCGACTACGAGAGTCCCCTTTCGATGTTGCCCTCATGGCTGAGATCAAGCGGGGTTCTCCTTCGAAGGGAATCTTTGCTCTTGAAATTTCTGCTCCTGCGCAGGCTCGAAAGTACGCATTGGCTGGTGCAAGTGTCATTTCCGTTCTTACCGAGCCTGAGTGGTTCAAGGGCAGCATTGAGGATTTGAGGGCAGTCAGGCAAGTTCTAGACGGCATGCCTAACCGACCTGCAATTCTCCGAAAGGAATTCATCTTTGATGAGTATCAGATTCTCGAGGCTCGGTTGGCTGGTGCTGATACTGTTCTTCTCATTGTCAAGATGCTTGACACCGAGCTTTTGCATCAACTGTATAACTACTCTCTCCAGCTGGGTATGGAACCTCTTGTCGAGGTTCAGAATGCCGAAGAGATGACAACAGCGGTTAAGTTGGGTGCCAAGGTCATCGGTGTCAACAACCGTAACCTGGAAAGCTTTGAGGTTGACCTCAACACAACCGGCCGCCTACGCAGCATGGTGCCTGAATCGACAATCATCTGCGCTCTTAGTGGCATTAACACTCATGACGATGTTCTGATGAACAAGAGGGACGGTGTCAATGCTGTTCTTGTTGGCGAGGCCATCATGAAGGCCCCTGACGCCAGTGTTTTCATCAGCCAGCTGTGCTCTGGAACTGAACCACCAGCCAAGTCTGACATCGCATCGTCTTTGTACGTCAAGATCTGCGGCACTCGGAGTGCTGAAGCTGCGCGCCAGGCTGTTGAGTCGGGGGCAGACTTTGTGGGCATTTGCCTTGTTCCCAGTGCCAAGCGATGCATCTCACATGAAACCGCCCTTGCTATCTCGGAAGCAGTACACACATACCCCAGCCCCCGCAAGTACGAAACACAAGTGGCAGCAGTAGACAACAAAGCTAAGGATTTCTTCGAGGCTGCAGCGCAAAGACTCCGCAGCCCGCGACCTCAGCTCGTTGGTATCTTCCAAAATCAGCCCCTGAGCGAGGTCCTCGAGAAACAGAAGCAATACGACCTAGATGTCGTACAACTTCATGGTGACGAGCCTCTCGAGTGGGCAAGCCTCATTCCTGTGCCTGTTGTCCGATGCTTCAAGCCAGGCCAAGTTGGTATTGGCCGTCGGGGCTACCACACAGTTCCTCTCCTTGACTCTGGCTCTGGCTCAGGCAAGCTACTCAATGTTGCTAATGTCCAAGCTGTTCTGGAGAGTGACCCTGAACTGCGAGTCTTCTTAGCAGGTGGCTTAAACCCTGATAACGTTGCAGAGTCTGTCAAGGCCTTGGGTCTTCTGGCTGACCGAGTGATCGGCGTTGATGTGAGCAGTGGCGTAGAGGAGGACGGAAAGCAAAGTCTTGACAAGATCACGGCATTCATCAAGGCTGCTAAAGAAATACGATAAAAGGTTGAATAAAATTCATGATTCCAATTACAAGTACAAGTGACGAAGTAGTTTAGGCGATGAATCAGAGCTATTTCCTTGATGCCCCGGCTGTG